TCAGCAGGTGCTAGACAGGCCTCTGACCCCTGGCTCCAGTCTAAAAGGAAAGTCCAACGACACAGGCATGGAGCCTCCCTCCCACCGGCCGCCAAGACGGGCTGGTGGGCCGCCTCCAGATGCCCTCACCCAGGGGTCAGGTTAGTTCCTCGACCTCCACCTCAGCCAGGGACCCCCAACCCACCAGCAAACCCAGAGCTTCACACTTACAGACACCAGTTCAGAAGCACCTCCGGGACACCTAGGGGACAGCTCTGCTTGAGAACCCACAGAGCCCTCCAAAACCTCGGGGACTTCACTCCCAAGCACTGCCGCCAACCCCACGAACTCCAAGCTTTCCTCTCACCTCCAGCGCCGTCCCTGCCAAGAAGGCCCCCCCCCTCCCCGGTCAGGGGCTGCTCACCCCCAGGATCCTCCGAGTCCAGGGCTTCCATCCCACGGCCTTTGCTGGACACTCTACAAATCGTGGCCTCAACCCCTCCTCCCCCGACACCCTGCTCCCAGTCCACCCGGGCCCTGGCTCCCCGGTCCCCCCGACCTCTGGCTCCCCGGTGCACCTGAACCTCGGCTCCCGCCTCCCCGGTGCCCCCTACCCCCTGCTCCCTGGCTCCCGACTCCCCCCGACACTCGGCTCCGCGGTCCCCCGGCTCCCCGGTCCACCCCGTCCCCCGGCTCCGGCACCGCGGTGCCCCGACTTCCGGCTCCCTGGTCCCTGCGAGCTCCCGCTCCCCGGCTCCCAGTGCCCTGAAACTCGGCTCCCGGCTCCCCCTATCCATGGCTCCCTGAACCCCGGCTCCCGGCACCCCGTTCCCCCTAACTCCGGCTCCCCGGCCCGTCGACCTCCGGCTCCCCGGCCCTTCGACCTCCGGCTCCCCGGTCCACTCCGTCCCCCGGCTCCGGCAACGTGGTACCCAGACTTCCGGAACCCCAGTCCCTGCGAGCTCCCGCTCACCGGCTCCCGATGCCCTGAACCTAGGCTCTCGGCTCCCCCGACCCACGGCTCCCTGAACCCCGGCTCCCGGCTCCCCTTTCTCCCAAACCTCAGGCTCCCCGGCTGCCAGCTCCCGGGTGCCCCGACCCCCGGCCCCTCCTCACCGGTCGCGGAGTCTCCTCAGACACCGGCACCGCAAGCGCCAGCAGCACGACCAGTGCAGCCGCCATGTCGCCGTCCACGTTCCGCTGCCAGCAGCCGCTGCAAGCCTCCGTCGTCTCTGCCTCCGCTTCTGGAAGAATACGNCTGCCTGCCTGTGCAGCCAGGGCCCTTCCCTGGAGCCTAACAGGGTCTTCGCGTTGTGGACAGAACACAGGGGGCAGGTGCATACTGGGGTAAGACGCTAGAGCTAAATCCTGCAAAGAATGATAATCCGGTGCAAGCCCCAGCCAGGCCTGACCCTTTCAGGGGCTGTTTACACACACTTGGTCCCAGTGCCCAGTGGAGGACAATGGCCCACTCTCCAAACAGGACCAACCATGCAGGGCCCCAGGGAGTCCTGGGGTTGGGGGAGAGTCTCTTCCCCTGACACCGCGCAGGCAGGGCGTGCCACCCCTTGTTATCCGTCTCTCCGATCTCCTCCCCAGGCTCTGAA